ATTCATTGGTAAATTCCTCAGTAAAATAACTATTTGGTCATCTACAAACAAACAAGATTTCTGGCTCTCACAGACCTGTAACTTCTTCTTTAAGAGCCTCCTCTATCCTCCACTTGTTAACTGTATTAATGGCACTTGTTTGAACTTGTTATCAGTATAAAAGACACCTGTCCACAACCTCAAACAGTCACACTCCAAACTCCACTATGGCCAAGACCAAAGAGCTGTCAAAGGACACCAGAAACAAAATTGTAGACCTGCACCAGGCTGGGAAGACTGAATCTGCAATAGGTAAGCAACTTGGTGTGAAGAAATCAACTGTGGGAGCAATTATTAGGAAATGGAAGACATACAAGACCACTGATAATCTCCCTCGATCTGGGGCTCCACGCAAGATCTCACCCCGTGGGGTCAAAATGATCACAAGAACGGTGAGCAAAATCCCAGAACCACACATTTCAAGGTCCTGGAGTGGCCTAGCCAGTCTCCAGATCTCAACCCCATAGAAAATCTTTGGAGGGAGTTGAAAGTCTGTGTTGCCCAGCGACAGCCCCAAAACATCACTGCTCTAGAGGAGATCTGCATGTAGGAATGGGCCAAAATACCAGCAACAGTGTGTGAAAACCTTGTGAAGACTTACAGAAAACGTTTGACCTCTGTCATTGCCAACAAAGGGTATATAACAAAGTATTTAGATTAACTTTTGTTATTGACCAAATACTTATTTTCCACCATAATTTGCAAATAAAGTCTTTAAAAATCCTACAATGTGATTTTCTGGATTATTTTTTCTCATTTTGTCTCTCATAGTTGAGGTATACCTAGGATGAAAATTACAGGCCTCTCATCTTTTTAAGTGAGAGAACCTGCACAATTGGTGGCTGACTAAATACTTTTTTGCCCCACTGTATGTGGCATTGTTAAAAGGTTGGAACAGCATACATAGGTCAGTTTTGTCTACCAAATGTCCTTCACGAGAACTAGATTTTAACTCCAACGTCTACCTTCTCCCCGCTGTTTCAAAAGGACTGAACAGAACCAATAGAAGCAGGTAAATGCAGCCTTAAGAGCAATATCTTCCAGAGAAAGTCATAAAATGCTTGCTTTTTTGGTGGAGGGGTTTAACTTACCTGATGGCTTTTTTGGCAATAGCTTTATAACTTGGCATAGATTTGTGTATCTTGTATTTGTGTATCTTGCACCTTGAATGTAAGGAACAATTTTCAAAAGTGAAATACAATAAAATGTATATTATTAGGAAGAAACACCATATATATTTAAATGTACATGTGTAGCTGCATGCATGTCATTCATAAGCGCTGCCAATGATTGTGTAAGCATAACGTGATCAAATGACCTCTCTTACAGTAAGTTCTGCACTGAGCAACACTAAAACCATATCTTTATTCGTATCAAGGATTAATCTATAAACGTGGGCTTAACAGCATGTTATGTATAGTGTGGCTTTAAGAGGATCCCAAGCTGGAGATCACAGCTTAATCAAAGGGGGGAGGGGAATCCATGGCTGTGAGAAATATGTGACCAGATCGAGAATCTGACACAAAATCATATGCATACTCAATTGAAACCCTATGGCACCTTTATATGCAATTTAAAAGCAGCTGTTTGTAAACCAAGGGGCATTTAACTCAGCATGTACATTGTACAGTATGTGTTATGTTGCATTTGGCAAGTATGCTTCAAATGCAGCTTTAAATAATGCAGCAGTGCTTAATTCTCGCATTAGGAAAACACATTTTAAAAAGGCCCAGATATGAGCAGGAACAGAACAGGTGAACTTGGCATGTTGCTAATCGACAACACACGAAAACATCAACACTGTCTCTGGGGTTCTTCTCGCACAACCGCAGTTTGGGGTGTGTTGCGCCTGTATTCATGCAGTTACGCCGTGGTTGCTTGGAACGGCCATGATGGACGTTTAAAGACTCGCTGAAAACCTTGAAAGTTACGCTAAATACAATAAACACTCAATTTCCACATCCCTAATTCAACGGTATGGGAGGAAAAAATTACATTTAAATATAAATCCACTTCAAAAGTAGTTACGTATTGAATGGCATGGGGAACGTTCACTATCTTTGAAGTAATATAATCAACAACAACAATTATCATACTACATTTGCTTTCCTCGTCTGCTGAGAATATCCTAAACTGTTGAATTATAGTATTTCAATGTACAGTTGTTTATTAGAGTTCAACTTTTGAGTTAATAAGCAGTTTGGATGTGACCTTTCGTCTAATGTTATGTTCTCTCCAGAACTGCACAGCTAAGAGACTCAACATTATATATGTTTCTATATCTTCTTTGAATTCTGAGCAGACATCTATTGGGATGTACAGTAAACCTATAAACATTACTTGTCGTTGTAAAACATTAAGGGAAGTGTCAATGCATTACATTACGTATAGCAGTGGAGGTAAACAACACGTAAAATACAGATTTTATCACGTTTTCAAGAAGACGTATTCCATTAAATGATGTGTAATATAATATGTGCACGTAAGTTTGTCCAAGTCCTTTTTGGCCGCTCCCAGCACCTGTACCGTAATTGCACTATTAAATAAGCAACCAGATCTAAACGACGGCTGGCTTAACTGGTTTCGCAAACGACAGCTCACTTGACCGCAGTAAAACCACGGAACATGTTCACCAGACTCACTGCTCGACTTTATGTTACAAGCCAGCGAGTCAGTTTCTACTGAAAAAACACTTCTTGTAAAAAAGATCACCTCCTATTCGTCTTAAAATCTAGTAATACATATGAAACCCAGCAAGCTAACTAGCTAGCTAGCTAGCTCAATCAGATATCGTAGGTTGGCAGGCATGTTAAAGTTGCTGTTGGCTAACAAATTGGCTAGCTACTTCTAGAGGAAACTAAACCACATACATCGCTGTCGACGTCGATGTCATCGTTTTCGCTCATTCTTCGGTGAACTGGTTCGAAAAAAGAAAGCAAGCAGCTGTCAAAACAAAGTGCAGCGACAACTGGAGGCAAATAATAAAATCTAGCACGGAGCTTTCCTACAGCAGACACATGACGATCAACGGTTTCTTTACACGTGATTCGCCTACACATGGACTGAAAAACATAAACAGCGCAGGCGCATCAAAGCAAGGCCTTATGGGAAATGAAGTAATTTGACCACTCACAGCCGTACTAGCGCTGTCGCTGCTTCTGGCATAATAACTACATTTCCCATAAGACAATGGGTTTAGACTCTCCCACCAAAATATACCGTTATCTCCTACAAGTAGCAAGCACAGCAGCCTCAGGACCTTCCGTGTTATTACTCAAATTCATGCACATATCTTTGCTGTATTGTAATTATAACAATTGAAACTTGCATTTCTTGAAATTGTCACAAGTGAATCAGTGATGTCGAAACATATACAATAATATTTGATGTGAAATGCTCCTGAAATATCTGTCATGCAAACACGATTCTCTGGTATTGGCAGCAAAATGCATTTTGTTAAAGTGTGATGGTCATTGACAACAGGGCAGTGTGTTACAATAATTAAGCTCTTCTTGCAGCATATGATTTTGAGGCCAGATGGTGGCCTGGCTCACTATGGCTGCCATCCCCCACCCACCATTCATGGCTTTACACTTGCCTCCACAGGACCTTTAAATAGCTTCTGCAGCAAGTCATCACTGCATATAAACCTGCTGCAGCACCCAATACATGCACTTATGAATGTATTATGAGGAGTTATTTGTCTAATTTGAATAGGAAAGAGAGGAACATGGGCTGTTTTATGTCCTTTTAAATTACATGATAACACATACACTTTCTCATGTAATATTTAGACACCATGTCGGACCTTTGACCTTTACTGTCATGACTTTCTCACCTGTGCAACGGGAAAAGTCCATCAATCCAGCAGTAAAAAAACTTGTAAATGGTTGTATTTTTGCACACAGAATACAATCTGTATTATATTAAATGATGATGTCTAAAAATACATCTTAATAAATTAAATAAATTGGGAGAACCAGGGATTTATTGTGTGTTTCCTCACACAATTAGGTTTTCCAAATGTTGTCCACAAGTTTTAATGTGTCAATAGGGTTATGGAACTATCACAGACATACTGCATATCGGAATACTTTGATTGCCTTTTACACAATTGATTCACTTGAATGGGAAACACTTTTAGATGGTGATATTCAACATAATGCTTGGATCAGTTACATCTGATTTTTCTACGATTTTCGAGGAATTCTAGGATTCAAATGTATAGCAAATGTAAATTATATTTATCCTCATAATTTAATATTCTCAGTTTGCTTTTTATCAGATGGAAAATATTCATAAATACTTGCTTTGCTGTACTTTGATTGTCCTTAATGCCTCCTTAAATCTCAAACAACATCTATGACTATCAGTTGTATCTGGTTTTGTTGCATAATATTGTTTAACCAGACATCTATGCATGTGGAAGCAGCGAGTTAACATAGCTAAAGCTCATGATCCTGTAAGAGACTCCATTGCATGTTAGCACGTGAGGTGCATTGAGATTTAAGAAATGGCCCCTTCAGTTTAGACACATGCTTCAGAGATTAAGCCAACAACATTGTAGCCTGCTCAGCTGTGCAAGTTGTAATTAAAAGTTCTTGGTGTACAAAGCACCCAAGTCTCACAATAAAAAGGGGCCCCTTTTGAAAAGACTGACAACTCTGCCAGGCAAACTGTGTCTGCCCCGTTGCATAATGATAATTGGGGGTCTGTTTACACATTTGAGGCCAAATGCATAAAGTGCCTTTTTAGAGGTACAGAAGCAAGTCTATTCTGGCCAAAGTTTCCCAAAGTGCCCTGAAAAACTGGTACAGACTCCTGATGTGTTGGGCATGACTTCCAGTAATCGGCTTGAAAGCTGGATACATTAGAATTCTGTGTAACATGTGAGAATAAAAACAGCGGTGCAAGGAGTTGAACTAGGTTCAAATGGTTTGCTTCTGGAGTTGAACGTGTTTATACCGACCATGTTGCCATGAGTCCATGTGACAGCGAGGGGAGGGCACAGGGGCCAAAAGGAGTTAGGCACAAGAATGTGAGGAGGAGAGATGGAAACAAGAGTGAGAGTGAGTACAGCAAAGTTACCGAAGCTGGCTTGAAATTAAGGTAAGAAAATTATCCGCTATTTCTTATTTATTGTCATTATACATTTTTGCTTTTCAAAAGGTAAGACTGCAGCTATGGTATTCTTAAAGTATCACCAGTCATTTTTATGAAAAGACCAAAATAGAACAAATTAATTATAAAGTATTCGGTATAACAGCCTGCTAACCAACTGTTAGAAACATTAAGATGCATGTTGTTTTCCAAAGTTTGTTGTTGTTCTGACTTTGTATAGATATCGCTTTGGATAAAAGCATCAGCTAAATGTAATGTTATGTATGTACTGTGTTAGGCTGCAAAGATAATAACTGAACAACTTAATTGTTATATTTTTTCACATAAAGACATTTATTGATTGTAAGGAAAAGATAAAATGATGCAATTGATTTTAAATGATCTGTAATTGATTTAGAGACATGTTAAAAGCCTGAAGCTGAGGTCGCAGTTACACAATCAAATAACATAAATCATTTAAGAACAAAACAGTGATTTAAATTAGAGAAAATGTTTGGAGTAGTCTGACATGTCTTGTGAGTGTACAGTGTGGACGAAACAACAAGATCATAAAGATATACACAATGAAAGATGGCTGAGGGATGGCACAATACTCAGCAGTAGTACAGGAGAAGGACATAATGTCAGATTATACAGACTTCAGTTGTAATGCTACTTGTAATCGTTTTGGGGGTTTACCTAAAGTATGTTTAAATTTGAAGACCATGTGTGTTTTTACTTCTTTTGCTGTGTGGTTTAGTCATTAAGAGATATATTTATAAAATACATCATATATACAAACAATTACAAATAAATCCTCTTAAGATGCATAGTCGTTTTTTCCCACAAAAAAGTTAAATTATCTTGTTAAAAATCCAGAATAAGCTGATTTGTTTAACTAAAAACATATACGGGTATAACATTTCTTAACACCAGTGTCAGCTGCATTCTAGACCGCAACTGGCTTCCCAACCATCTGTGATGACATAAAAACATAATAATAATAATAAATAAACATAATATTAGATCACACGTTGTAACGGTACTTATAATAGTTTTTGGGGTTTACCTAAAGTATGTTTAAGTTGGAAGACCATTTGTAATTTTACTTTTGCTGTGTTGCTTAGTCATTAAGAGATAGATTAATACAAATAAATCATACATAGATACATGAAAACAATAACGACTTAAGATGCATTCGTTTCTTTCCACAAAATTGTTAAATTATCAATATCTTTCACTGAAAACATATATGGGTAGGATATAACATTTCTTAACACCAGTGTCAGCTGCATACTGAACCGAAACTGGCTTCTCAAACATCTGTGATGACAGAAAACATACCGGTTCATGCTGAGATTCAAGGGGAGCAAAGAGAAACTTTCCCTCTTCAACGAGTCAATGTGGAAACAGCATCTGATGTCAGACTCTGCACGTTCATCATACTGCAAAGTACACGTCAACCATTCAAAAGAAGCAGTACACATGATGTTTTTAAATATGCAGGTGTAAACTCTGGCTTCTTTTTCATTTTTGCTGATTAATGGTATGCTGGACTTTGACTGAACTCTAAAAGCTGCTGCTGTCCTGGCTTCACATTGGTGATATTATGCATTCCTGTTATTGTATTATCAATCAACACTTATCAAGTATTTGATGTAATTTGCCCGAGTTTTTTAAATTCCCCTGTACCAAAAGAATAAAATCCAATTAAAGTTGGGCTTGGAATAAAGTAAGAAGGCTGGAAAACTGTGTGGATAAACCCAACTAAATTCAATAAATAGCAGGTTAAATTTTAGTAATACTCAATTTATTCTCAAATGAATACTGAAATAAAATGCTAGATGCTGAATTTATGTGTATTGACGTCTAATGAATGCAAAAACAAACTGTATTGCCTTAGCTGGTAATTTATTTAACTTGCTTTGTGTGCCAGGTGAGAGCCGCAGCCCAGCCGTGTTGGGATGAGCGCCACAATGAACGCCACATTAGTCTACAAGGGAATAACTGACATTTACAATGAGGCAAACGTCTCTGGCAATGGAAGTGTGATGGGTGTCTTGAACATCCCCCCTTCCCTAAACAAAGCCATCAACATCCTCTTGGTCGGCATCCTCTTCATCACCATGATATCTCTTGGCTGTACGATGAAGATTTCCAAAATAAAGGCCCATCTCTTTAAGCCAAAAGGAGTATCCATTGCTCTGCTGGCCCAGTTCGGCATCATGCCCCTGACTGCTTTCTCTCTAGCCAAAATCCTGCAGATGGAACCCATCAAGGCTGTGACTGTGCTCATCTGCGGCTGCTGTCCAGGGGGAAGCCTTTCCAACATTTTCTCCCTGGCTATGAAGGGTGACATGAACCTCAGGTGAACCCTCATTCATGTTTTGATTCCAGGTAACAACATTGAACGCAGGTCAGCCTAACAAAGCTTCTTCTCTCTCTGACACCTCCCCAGCATCGTGATGACCACCTGCTCCTGCATCGCTGCTCTGGGTCTGATGCCGTTGCTGCTCTATATCTACTGCCAAGGTTTTGACGGTCTGGAAGATGCCGTACCGTACGTCGGCATCATCTCTGCTCTCGCTCTCACCCTGGTGCCTTGTGCCATTGGCATAGCCATAAACCACTACAAACCCAAATACTCACCGTTCATCAAGAAAGTGAGACTGAAATTTGAAAGCAAACATTTTGGACTTGTCATATCGGGAAAACCAGCATGCACAATACCAGAAAACTGAACCATTGTTTTATTTTATACACCTGTGCTTTTACAACTGTAAAGCATAACGAAAAAGACCAAGTTTCCATGAAAAGTCATCATGGCATTGGTGTAATTTTTGGTACAAATAAACAGGAAGTCCTCCGTCTGAAAGCAGACCTTGAAGCCTCCAGACGATGTTTGCCACATTTGGAATTAGGCAGGAACAGAGTCGTTTTTTTTCAGTACATTTCATGTTGCGATTCATTAACTGACCCTTGTAACATGTTGTTGCTTTCTCCTCAGGCTGGTCTCGGCATCCTGCCAGTTGCAGCTGTCCTAGTGTGCGGTCTGTCTTATTTCGTCAGCAAAGACGTGGTATGGCTCGTCCTCACACCGGATGTGCTGACCGTGGGGGCTCTGATGCCTCTGATTGGATTTACGCTGGGATATATGATGTCTATGATATGCAGACTCAGTCCAAAGTAAGTGAAACATCTCTATAATTGGGTTGCTTTCATTGTTTTGTATGATGTGAGGGGATAATTGGTTGTTTATTAAAAACACACAATAGAAACAAATAAATGTTGTTTGCAACCCTTTGGTTTAATCTTAAGGGCCTGATCAATAGCTATATATTGAATATAATTACTATAAACACTATTATACAAGTTTATACAATATGATGCTCCAACAGAGGAAACTGTAAAAAGTATAGTTATAACAGTAAAAGGCTACTTACACATTTATTCATCAGTGTTAATTAATAAATAGGTAATAGTCAAACCTTCACAAGAGCCGTCTTTTACTTTTGATACTAATTAAGCAAAAATGTCATTTTAATTAAGGATCTAAATCCAGTCTCAAAGTTTTATTTTAAACCAACCTACAGTGCTAAAATAAGTGAAGAAAAACTAGATAAAAAATCAAAATCTGGGAAAAATCATATTATTTCAAGACAAAACCCTGAGTACTGTCCTGGATCTCCACGCCCCACTGAAATCACGAACAGTCAGCTTCTCCCGCTCAGCCCCTTGGTTCACTTCAGAGTTACGTAGCATGAATGCAGCTGGGCGTGTACTCGAGCGGCATCTCGCACGATCTGGACTCACTGTTCACAGATTAGCCTATCAGGAACATCAACAAACCTATTCAAAGTCACTCAAAAAAGCACGGTCGTAGTTCTACTCCGACATCATCAGTAAAAATGCTGGAAACTCCAAGCAGCTTTTCTCTACTGTTGATCATCTCCTCAAGCCACAAACTCCCTCACACATCGACACTACAGAAGAGCAGTGCAATAACTTTGTTACTTTCTTCAGGACAAAAGTTGCCACTATTCGCTCACTTCTCGCAACCCCTTGCGCTGTGTCTCTACTGTTAACCCACAGCATGGGATTTTCCAACCGCTCTGCTGCTTCGCGGAGATCTCTCGGCAAGAGGTTGCGGACATCATCTGCAAGATGCAAGATGAAACCCTCCACCTGCACACTAGACCCTCTACCCACAGCCCTTGTCAAATCGAACATCTCGGCTATATGTCCCATGATCACTGACATCATCAACAGCTCCGTCAAGGCTGGTCATGTTCCATCGGCTCTTTAAACGTCATCAGACCCCTTCTCAAAAAACCCACCCTAGACCCAGATGTCCTCGCCAACTACAGGCCCATCTCCAACCTCCCATTTCTAGCCAAGGTGCTGGAAAAAGTAGTTGCCGCCCAGCTTCAGGACCATCTACAACTAAACGGCCTCTTTGAGAAATTCCAGTCCGGTTTCCAATCCGCCCACAACACTGAAACAGCTCTGGTCAGGGTCACAAACGACCTGTTAATGATGGTTCCCCATCTCTCCTCATCCTCCTGGATCTGACTGCAGCATTCGACACTGTCAACCATAACATCCTCCTTCAGTGCCTCGAACACACCATCGGACTCTCTGACTCCGCCCTGGGCTGGTTCCAGTCGAGTACGTCTCCTTGGGAGGTGCGAGGTCCCAGACACACCCTGTCAACTGTGGTGTCCCTCAAGGGTCGGTCCTCGGGTCCACTCTGTTCACCCTGTACACTCTGCCCCTTGGTCATGTCATCAGCAAGCATGGAATATCATTCCATTGCTACGCTGATGACACCACGCAGCTATATATAAAGACATACCCTATCCCACATGCTTCCTCACCGTCACCATCATCATCACCGTTCCCATCAACATCCCTAAACACCTGCATTGAGGAGAAAGGCTTGGATGCAGCAAAACTTCCTGCAGCTAAATAGCTCCAAAACAGAAGCTATTTTTGTTGGCACACCAAACCAGGTCCAGCCATCTCCCATAACCCACATTACCTTTTCTGGCCAAAACATACCCCTCTCCGCAGAAGTTACCAACCTAGGTGTAAGATTTGACTGACATCTGACCTTTGACACCCACATCAAACACCTGTGCAAAACCTTCTTCTACCGCCTCAGGAACATTGCAAAACTCCGTCCCACTTCCCACTCTCTCCCTGTCAGATGCTGAACAACTGGTCCATGCCTTCGTCTCCTCAAGGCTCGATTACTGCAACGCTCTCCTCATCGGGACTCCTAGCGGGAGCCCTCAGAAGCTCCAATACGTACAGATCAGTGACGCCAGGATCCTGATGAGGGTGAGAAAATACAACCACATCACACCCGTTCTTTATTCCCTCCACTGGCTTCCTGTCTCATTCAGGATCGAATACAAGATCGCACTACTGACCCATCAATGCATCCACGGGAACGCTCCTCCATACCTGAAGGAACTTCTCACATCACAAACCTCCACACGCAACCTCCGCTCCACAACCAACCATCGGCTTCGCCCCCCGAGGACCAAACTCCGCACGAAGGGGGGATCGGGCTTTCTGTGCAGCTGCTCCTCACCTGTGGAATTCCCTCCCAGACCACCTGAGGACTCCACAGACCATGGACGCCTTCATGAAAGGCCTAAAAACCTTTTTTATAAAAAAAAGCCTTTGATTAAACTTTTGTTTGTTTTTATTATGCCTCCTTTAGCACCTTGGGATTGCTGTTAGCAATGAAAGGTACTTTACAGATAAAATGTATTATTATTAGTATATGTCAATACAATTGGTGCATTTGAGTATGAAATTACTAATGCCAAGTGACTCACCTCTCTTTAGATGCAGCAGGACAGTCTCCATGGAAACAGGGTGTCAAAACATCCAGCTGTGCACTGCCATCCTTAAAGTGGCCTTTTCGCCCCAGGTCATAGGACCCATGTTTCTCTTCCCGCTGGTATACTACACATTCCAATGTGCAGAGGCCCTGCTGCTGACCCTCTGCTTCAGATGTTACCGAGCATTCAAGCCACTGGCCGAGGGTAACTGTCACAGCTGTCCCAGTGTTTTTGTATAGCTTTGTCCAGCACACAGACATTTGGAGCTATTGGTGTTTTGAATTAAGACTATTAAAATGTAAATGTACCTCTCTTACACAGACGGTGACGATGTTAAACAAAATGGAGGTGAAGCGGCCATGATGGCACCACAAATCACTGCCTAGTGCTGGAGCGAGGAGCCGAATCCTACCTAGTGAAGACTCCATAACATGTTCTACACTCAGGCCTGTGATAGGGAAGACTGGTGAAACAAGGGGGACTAATACTCTTAATACTGTCTACTTAATCAATTCTATAAAATGGTGACTATATGTACTGCTTAATATGCCATGATAAAAAAAAAAAAAATACATTTTGTATTTATATTTTTGTACTTAAAATGTGCTAATTTTATGACTTACAATTTGACAATAAATGAATATGTGGATAAAATATATTGATGTGTCATGTGGTCTTTTGAGACTGTTGAATACTTCAATTAATTCAGACCAAATGAAAAAGAAGGATAAAGGCAATTTGAACATCTCAATAATATTTAATCAAAATAATTGTATGGTATATACAGAGTAAATTTAACTTAATACATTTTACATATATTAAAACTACCATCTTCACAGAAACACAAAAAAAAATGAATTCCTCAGTCCAAAAGTAAATGTAATGGACAGTCAAACCAAGTGAACACTAACATTACACTGATCTGTACACTTACTCACTCACGTGTAGGAGCGTCCAAACAACATTAACAGTGTCACTTAGAACATGTCTGCAGAAGAATCAAAACTAAAGCGGTGATAAGACTTTCTCCAAGAGCTTTGAAAGCATTAAAAAGAAGCCATGGCTGATCAACAGCGTCGTGGTAACAAATAAATAAATACACATCTTAAATTTCCCTTTTACACTCAAAACAGGAATTTACAAGTAGCCTGAATAAATTAAGAGAATAATATTTTCTGGTGTAGAAGTGATGTGTCTGGCAAAGCCACACATAATATCACTAACACAGCGTCCACACTGCGGCGTACGTTGAAGCTTGCCGGCAGGTTGAACATTGCTCAACTTTTGAAGTGAGCAACGCGAGCAAAGCGAAGCAACACTCCCACAATGCAGTTCGGCAAAGTGTGACGTCACCCCATTCAAAGTGAATGGGCAGAAGCGTTGAAGCTTCAACGCACGCCGCTGTGTGGACGGGCCGTAAGCTGTGGAGGCATTTAACTGACATTCATGTTTCAAATTCCTTATTTTTTACAGAATCCTGTGCATAGAAGTGGAAAGCTAAGGCCATTGGGGGCAAGAGTTGGAGTATGAAGAGAATACGTCTGAAAGCTTTGCGAGAGTTAAATGTGCTTAATGCAGGCCTGGGAAAAAAAGTGTTTGCCCTCAATCCAATGAAAAATGCAGCTGAGTGAACTCTTGGGGGGACAAGTTACCATAAACTGTACAGTGACATGTGGAAGGACATGAATAATAACACCTTAAGTAATACTTTCTAATCACAAAAACCTTGTGAAGACAATGCTGTGAGTAAATGACTTGGACAATAATCTTGATTTCCTTCTTTCATGCATCTTCACCGATTCTGGTGCGAAATGTGTTTAAAGAAAAGTAACAGTGAACAAACACTGAAGAGATTATTAGCTCTCAAACTGAGTTCCCCCACTAAACTGAAATACAACAGGCATTCAGTTCAACAGCCTGTAAGACACATTTTTTCTTCATTTTTCTTCCTTTCTGTTTTTGTTCTACGTTTTCAAACGGAGCTTCAGACATTAGACGTACATACATAGATAAGGAATTCTTATGAAAAATGTAAGCATGTATGTACATGTGAATCCCTTCTCTCTTCTCCTTTGGGATGGGCCGAGGAACTACTCTGAGCGACCCACAGCTTCACTCAGAGCCTCGTCTGTGTTGACAGCTGTGTTGAAAAACTCTCATGAGTTACCCGCTCACCAGTGCAGGTCAGTAGCAACGCTGGTATCCTCGAGTAAGTACAAAGGTTGTTGCATTCTTCAGGCCTCCTTCAGCAACGGCATATCTGTAGACAAAAGACCATTATTAGCAAAGAGGGGGTTTTAGGTAAGTAAGAAGTGTGTTTGAATTGGGCTTCACCATCAGAGTAGTCCATCTCAGAGTCCAGAGACAGGTTGTGATGGTCGCTGCCTGCAGACGGCCTTCTTTGAGAGTATGATGGAGCTGCAGCACCTGCGTGCTCCAGAACCCAGGTGGAGGATGAGGGTGAAGGTGACGAGGAGGACGGCACAGGGTGGACCACGGCCATCTCTGACTGCTGCTGTTTGAGGGAAGAAGGCCGAGAGGGGCCAGCCTCTGGCGCTGTGGCGTGCTGACCCTCAGACAGCACTATCTGGACTCGAGACTCGGAGCTGAGGGACGTGGCTCCACAAGTATTCACAGCCTCATCGTACGAGGGCAGAGTCACCTGGACTCCTTCCACCATGATGGACACGGGCTGTCCGGACACTCCCTGATCCCTTCTAGGTGTGAAGGATAAGAAGACAGTTAGTTACCACTAGTTTCTTGAGTGTAAAGTAGGGATGGGTATCGTTAAGGTTTTAACGGTACTACTACTTTTATCGATACCGCTTATCGGTCTGGTCTTTTAACGGTACTCTTATCGGTTCTTTTGAAAAAAAAAAAAAAGGTAAACGAACTAAAAAAATTGTGAACAAAACTAACATTGCTTTTTGTTTAAATTAAATACATAATATTTCAAATCAAAAGAAACAACAATGTTTTTAACAAATCGTATTAAATAATCTGATGACAGAATTGTAAACAGAATAGCTGAAACTTTAACTAAATAAATAACTCAGTTACCTCTAATCATTAACCCATGGTTGTATAATTGAGTTAACCCCGTGAGTTGCTGCTAGCATACATAACTCCTGACGTGGAACCGTTACTCGTGGATGGGGCTACAGAGCTACGAGAAAGACAGTTGAAAACGGTGCATTTCTCCGTCTGAATGTGGTGCACTTTTGCTACATTTTTAGACAAATTGCTTGTGTTACCGCCCTTACATGCTAAACTCTTATTGCGCTTTTGGCAACAAGCATTGTCCACATCGAGACAGGGAGAAGTTTAACCTCACCTTGGAGCGCGTTCTCCTCTGAGTGTGTTTGTGTGTGTGTGTGTGTGTGTGTGTGTGTGTGTGTGTGTGTGTGTGTGTGTGTGTGTGTGGTGTGTGGTGTGTGTGTGTGGTGTGTGTGTGTGTGTGTGTGTGTTGTGTGTGTGTGTGGTGTGTGTGGTGTTGGTGCGTTTTCTCTCCGCCATCTCCCCCGAGTGTGTGTGTGTGTGTTGCTGCATGACATGTAGCAGCCGCGTGTATGTAAACTGCCCCGCCCCCTCGCAAGCAGGCGGGGGAGAGATCGAAAATACTAAAAATAATCATGGACGCATTTTGCAGTCTTTTTGCGTATTAGAAACGGAGTTGGCGACAGTAAAACTGCAATATAATGTTTGTGTAGCAATAATACATATGACATATTTTTTAGATGTCTCCAGTACCGACAAAAATACCGATAACGTCGGAGCTTAGCGGTACCACGGTCTTTAATAATTCAGCCCCGGGGCCCGTTTAATACCGGCACTCGGTACAAATCCCTAGTGTAAAGTGCTTTTCCGTATTTTGAGGACAGACTCACCGATGGAGGGATTTGAGTTTTGGCTGCAGAAGAACAAACAGCACCACCAGGAGCAGTATTAGGGCCACTGAGCTGGCTGTGGAGGCCACTATGGACAGGGCGGGCATCCCCAATGGTAAAGTTGGGTTGTGGTCTGTGTAACACATAACAGTTGACACAGTTATGTGTACAGAAGTTAATTTAATTATTTATGTAATAGTAAAAAATATGTAATCTATTTGTGTACCTTGCTCCATGAGGCAGCTGAGTTTCATTTGGCTGTCCCATTCTCCATACTGACAGGTAAGGTATTTATAGTCTCCCTTCAGGACATAGCCTTCCTCACAGAAATACTCAATCACAGTGCCCTGAGAAAGTCTTTGGCATGGGGCGGGGTGGCAGGTGTAGCCCCCATTCGCTGGCTGAAATGGAGGCTGGCAAACTGTCAACAGAGGAGAAAGGAAACAATAAATACATAAACTCCACTGCTGTATGTTATTTTACTTGAATTATGTTAACATGCAAGGGACTACGTTATTGTTTAAACTGTTTACATTTGTCTTGTGTTTTATTAAACGTTTTTTGCGTGAATTTTCCCTAAGTATACAAAAATGACATGTGGAGTTCCCTAAGTCTCCCTCCTGGTGCCTCTTTAGTTCAACTGCTCCCACTAGCTTACATTATTTAAAAACGACTTCATATCTTCTGGAGGTCTGTCTTTACCGTCACTGCGTATACAGCGGGGAGGTTCAGAGGACCAGTGTCCCAGTGCAGAGCAGGTGAGAAAGCTGGATCCGTCGGGCAGGTAACCGGGGTCGCAGCTGTACTCCAGTACGGTGCCCACAGGGAACGAGCTTCTGTTGGTTTCTGTCAAATTAGTGGACCCGTGCTGCACCGTAGAGGGCCTTATACAACCTTAAAAAGGGGTAAACAAATACAGTTAAAAGTTGAATTTACAAAAACAAACATATTCAGGCTTTGTCTATAAAAGCACTTAAAAGGACGTTTCAGCTATTTGCGCTAATAGCTGATACGTGTCAGCCAATCTATCTATACCTTGCTATGTGAGGCAGCTGCTCGACATTAGTCTGCCCCATTTCCAATACTGACAATATCGGAATTTATAGTAGGCTTCAGATTATAACCTTCATCACATAAATACTGAATCCCAGTGTCATGAGGTAGCCTTCCACAAGTGAGCTCCTGTTTTCTGGCTGATATTGAGTGTGGCATACTGTCGATTGAAGAAAGGGAAAACAATAAAACACATAAACTCAGATGCTGTATCTTGTTTCGCTACGTGTCATCTTAGTGCATCTGTTTGTAATAAAACTTGCTTTGTCTCCATCCAAGGATATTCGGAGTATTCAAAAATCTGGGCAGCGCATTGATCATAATGTGTCTGTTTTTGTTATTGCAGTTGCTGGATGTTGATTTAAGAAGAAAGAAGTGTTTCTCTGATCTCCTGTGGAGTTGGTTTGTATGATCAGAGCCCCGATATGTCTCCGACTGCATTTACAGGAAAACACTCATGTTGTTTTTGATATAAACAAACTGCTTGTGTTACGAACACAGAACGCTGAAATACATAGGGAAAATGCTTACACTAGGTTAGAACATTAAACGGAAAAATACACAGAATACATACATATATTAGGGTTTCCGCTAGGATTTTTTCTCGCCGGTCAAACGTCCGGACAGAATTTATTTTACCGGACACATTCGAAACTTACCAGTCATGTTTCAATAATAATAATAATAAGAATTGTGTAGTAGAGTTTCCGTTAGCAGGTAATTACCGGACTAGGACCGGATATGCTGATGTTTAAAACTCAGTTAATGGGAGTCATTTGTATATTGCTTCAGTTTATAATCGTAACAGATCAAAAAATTCAGATTCATTTTTCAATAAATGATTCCACAAACAACAACATAATTATTACATTCAAAGAAACTACTTGTAGTAGAGTAAGTACATTATTCAAAAGTTTACATTAACTTTGAATAATAATACGGGAGAAACGGATCCTCTCTTTTCCTCTCTCCCTCTCTCCTGACAGCCCGTCAGTTTCTCATGCAGCGCGCTAAACAGTGGGCGGGGCTTCAGGTGATTATGGAGCAGCTGATCTGATCTCTCTCTCGCGTCCGGTTACACTTCACTCGCGTTTATGTCCATATCGATCAGATCCAGCTCTCCTGATCAGCCTTTATAGAGAGCACAGATCAAACTATTAAGAGTGAATATCGGCCGATAATAATCGGCGGCCAATCGATCGGAGCATCAGACATTTTGACCTGCAGGTTTTGAATTTACCGGTTTTTATTACATTTTACCAGCTAAAAACCGGTAATTACCGGCTAACAGAAACCCTGACATATATCTATTTTTTAAACAAATAAAAAATCTCAAACTATTTACTAAAACTAAATGTTGTAAACAGGTCTGAAAGGTGGTGAAAATGCAGACTGTATTAAAAGGGGGTTTGTTTTTACCATCACTTCTTATACAGCGAGGAGGTTCAGAGGACCAGTGTCCCAGTTTGGAGCAGGTGAGGATGCTGGATCCGACCGGCAGGTAACCGGGGTCACAGCTGTACCGCAGTACTGTGCCCACAGGGAACAAACTCCTATTGGAGTCTGTCAGATTAGTTGAGCCATGCTGCACTGTGGAGGGTCTTACACAACCTTAAAAAGGGGACAAATAACAGTTAAGATCTCTAATTAGCTTAAATATATTTTGTATACAGCAGATTTGTTACAAAGTGCTAAACTGGTAAAGTTAAAACTAAGTTTAGCTTTTTTTCTTTTTTATGATCTATGGCATTACAACTTGCGCATAACAGATATTTTTGAGAATACTTCTAGCCAGGATTATGCTGTTTCTATAGAAATGCAGGTGATTATATAATCTAGTGAAAAGCAAGGCCACAGTAAGTCAAATTAGGAGCCATGTGGGGTTCAGATTGTTCGGAAAAATGAATTGATCTTATTGATACATCTCAGTTTGAGGACTGACCAACCTTGGCTCACACAACTGATCTGCATGGGGCCGTCCCACTGTCCGTCCTGGCAGGTCAGGTAGTTATAGTCTCCGCTGAGAAAAAAGCCATCGTCACAGAAGAACTCAATCACAGTGCCGTGGGAAAACATCCGGCAGGGCGCTGGGTGGCAGGTGTAGCCCCCATGTTCGGGTTTGAAGAGGGGTAGACATGCTGATGGAGGAAAAGAAAACAAGTGCATGGTGTTGTTTATCTGCAACCATAAATCATTACAAATAATTTAGAGAGAAGATTTTAAATGAGGTTAGCTGCTCACATCAGAGACATTCTACGTTACTTTGCAGATTGGACAAAGACTGAGGTAGACTAAATAACTTACCACCACTGCGTATACAGTGAGGAGGGTCAGAGGTCCAGCGTCCGATTGTGCTGCAGGTGAGGATGCTGGGTCCGTCTGGCAGGTAACCAGGGTCACAGCTGTACTGCAGTACTGTGCCCACAGGGAAGGAGCCCCTGTTGGTTTCTGTGAGGTTTACCCAGCTGTTCTGGACCATATAGGGCCTCACACATCCTGGGAAGAACAGACGAAACAAATGAGAAATTCTGTGAAACTGCACAGGTTTTCAACAGAATTAATGAATAAATATTTTGAGCCGTGTTTGATACATGTTACCCAATGAAGCCACCAGTAAGTGACACACAATATGACCTATAATAACCATCTGCACTACAAGGGCATGGCACCACATGTGTCCAGAAAATGTCGAAGCTGTAATTCTACCTATTACATAAATTGTATGTATGGTTTGGCAGTGTCATGGCTAATCCCATCCTCTTAAATCGGGACATCTGTACTAAATTATTTTATGTTAAATATTCACTTCACTATTCCGTAACAATAACATGTGAATATCACTGACATCATAATGGATGGTTTTAGTGCTTTTTTATTAAGTCTGTAGTATTACTGAAAATAAATCTGCTTGGATAAACTGTAAAATGTTGAAAACAATGTTAGGAAACAGTCACTACGGTATCCCCTGAGCAGTATGACGTGCAATACATCCCATCTTTGTCAGGATTGTTTGATTTTCAACCATTTTTTCTTAGAGATAACAAAGCTGAATAATATTATTAATATTCGTAAAAGAAAGGTTAACGTACAGATACAATCTAAAATGCTTAACATTGTATGAGTGTTCAACCATCGTTGTGCTCCTTACCTGACCCTTGCCCAGTGGACACTGCAGTCAGTACCAGCAGCAACAAAAACAACAACCGTTTAGTGGATGAGCTGTGGGCCCACAAGGCAATTGATGTTGACTGTATCATTCCATCGCACATCTTTCCCCGCTGAGTCAACTCAACCTGGTATGATGAAAACACATTGTAAGCACAAAAAGGCTATACATATTATGATGAAAAAGCAATCACCCAGAGCCTTGACCACATGCTGTCACCTGGCTGGCGCAGGTACTCTGCAGAGCTTGGACAGCTTCCATCGAAATGGGTGTGATTTTGGTACAATGACAGCACTGAGAAAAAAAGCCTAGCAAAAACCATTTAGCAAGTTAGCGTTTTTATTGCGAAACCCATGCCAGGTGCTCCCTTTAATACCGTTAATTATCTAAACGAAGCGACGTTTTTAGCTAACCATGTCACCCACACGTCAAATATGACCCTGTTCCTGAATGGTTCTATCGCAGCAGCTACACACCCATTTTCGGTGCTTACTTGTTAGCCTTAATAGCTACGTTTGATAACGTTACAGGGAGCAAGGCCAAAACAAAATAAACCACTGTTATACACCGAGTGTAAAATGTGGAGTATACTTAGCTAGCAACTAGCAAATGTGCAGACACCAATCGAATATGTATATTCAACGAAGCACATCACAGCTGGTTCGATTGTTAGGCTAGCTGCCTTGGACAATCAATATTAGCCTTCAAAGCTGGCTAACGCTAGTAAGACATAAAAAGGGCTCGTTGTTTGGCGTTACCTACCACAAAAACACGGCCTCGAGTCCTCCACCTTCGCGTTCTCACACTGTATACATTTATTAACACTATCTCAGCTTCACTGACGACATTTGACGTTACTAATTAAACGAAGATATCATTTAATAATCGAGTGCAGCGGTGCAGCTACAGCTAACCCCTAGCTAGCTCCTTACTAGCTAGCTTGTTACCCGCTACGCTAGCTAGCAGCATCGATTGCAGCATCAGCTTGGCTGCCTCAATTCCGTCCGGGAGCCATAGTAACACATGCATATTTCCATAGTTACAACATCCGGGACTGTTTGCGTCCATAGTTACCAAAACACAAGGAGACAAGTTGTTTTACTTAGGCAACAGCAATTTAATAATATATTTTTGACGTTTTACTTCTTGAAATCGCACCATGGAAATCATCAAAGGTACTTTGGATGACATTTCTCGACCTGCATCGAGTGAGCAGACAGGCAGCCGTGTGTCAAGCATGTCATTGTCTCATGGTGACAGAATTGGTACAACTACTCCATTTGCTCTGGTTGTTTTGACTAACGATGCTGCTGATGTTCAGGTAATTTAGTAAAAACTGATACATTCATGGTTATTGAATTTGACAGAATTAGATTTCAAATAATGTTTTCCCTGTAGATCCAGAGCCGTTATGAAGAAAGTTTAATCAACTCCTCATCCAGAGGTCTGGACAAAGGTAATTACATTTTTTCTAATGAAAAAGAACTACACTGTTTTTTTTGTATGGTCCCAATACTCAACACTCTTTATAATATGTGTTCAATTTTAGGCCAGTGTCCCCTTGAAATTTCCGATGAAGAACAAGAAAATCCCCGACTGCAGAGGGCCTTTGAGGAAATGAAACGACTTGATGAAATACTTTCTGAAAAGATCTGCCTTGAAAAAGAAGTCAAGCGTCAAAGGAAAGAGCTTCAAGCTAAACTCTGGCAAGAGCTCATGGTGCAGTGTTTGCATTCGCTCCATAAACATTACCAATTCGTTTTTTTTTTTTAACCTAAAAATTGATCATTCATATCAAGTATGGTAGCCTATAATAACATAACGTAATATAACACTTTATCCTGCAGCAGAATAATCGTGAAGGTCACTCTGAATGTGCCCAAGAAGCCATGAACACAAGGTTGTTTTTGGCTCTGGAAGCACCCACTGGTAAGCAAAGGCATGAGTAAACAGATCAGATGCAGTCACTGTGAGACATCTGAAATGTATTTTTTTATCTTACAGTAACAGAAGGGGAGGACAACTTTGTACCTGTGTTTGAAACTCAAGTTCCTGACTGGGAGCAAAGCCAAGATAACCAACACTTGGAACAAAGTGAGTTAATAAGAATCGAACATGAAATCAAAAGCAGAAGGCCTTTTTCCAAGTTATGATCTCTGTTGTATTACCTAGATTGGGCACATGATGGCGCCCTTAGTTTGGGAAACTAAGCTGTCTGTTTTTTCTTTCAAAGTAGACTGTGGCAGATAACAGCTAGTGCACTAACTCAATTTGCCAGTGGTCAATGCATAACACTTTACCCACTATGCAACTCATGATCTTGTGGCTTTTGGTGATATCGATTCCCTTGGGAAAATAAAAAACACCTTTCCCCCCAAAAAAACAGTAGACATAAACCTGATTTTTTTTCTCTGCCTAAATGCTGACATTTAGAATGATTGTCCACTTGTTATTATACAGGCTTAAACCTCTTACACTTTAGTTCAAGCATGGTTTCACATCCACTATGCTGCCTTGCGGAGCTAGCATTCAATTAGTACCTATTCATATGTCACCATTTCGATATATTTGGGCAGCTGCAAACTACAATCATGTGGATCAGATGATGGAATAAAACTCCATTGTTTAAAAATGACTAATAGTAATTCCGTGATTTCTATCTGAATTGGCTGAAATAAAAACCTTTGGAATCTAATGTGTGGCATTGCCTGACAGGTGAAAGGAGGCCAGACAGCTCAACAGACTTATTTGAACAAGACCGTGAGGAGACTGGGGAAGAGCAATTTGAAGGCAGCCACTGTGGAGCTTCCAAAGGCAAGAGAAAAAAAAAGGACTTTGTGAAGAGAAACATTGAGGTATGTAAAAGTTCACATTGGGCCAAATGCAGTGCTGGGGTAAATCGCATGACTTAGAGCAAGTACCTTAACCGTTTGTTTTCCCAATGAGTCAATTATTTTTCTCTCAAGAGAAAGAATGGAAGCATAGTGCATAGGGCACCACAGCAAGAAATAAAAATGTTTATTATGAACTGATTCCATTCTCTTTTTCCCCCCAAATCCTCTAGTTAGTAAGTGGTGAGGGGGACCAAGTGCTTTTGACTCAGGCAGAGATCGAGCGTCTGGCCGAGCTCCTTGGAGAAGTAGAGGAAGATGAAGAGGAGAGTGCCAGAGGTGCAGACAGCGAGGTAGGGTGAGATGAAGCCCTAACATACACCATGTGCTGCCAGATGTGTCTCTATTTTAAGTTCCTTAATACTTCCCCCTCATGTCTTATGCGATGAACCAGTCGATACAATCCACTGCTTCTGCTTATACCAATTATATTTTGATCGAATATAACATTTTAAATTAATTATTTGAAGAACCAAATGTTCATTTCAGTCCACAACCTTTTTAAACAATTTCAGTTAAGGTTTTTTTTATTTGATCTGTGTTAGAATCTAACATTCCGCTTTTCAAATGCTGTTTTTAACACAGTGTAACTTTGGAGCAGCACGAAGAGTGCCATTGGTCAGGCGTTCATGTTTTAATGGTTGCTTGGCAGCTCGGCAGCCTCTGGGCAGAAGATCCTGACTCCTCAATGCAGTTCAGATTACAAACCAGATGTCAAGTGGCATATGAATTTCAAATGGAATGCCGCATGTCATAGATGAATTTTGTTATCACATTTTCATAACAATTCCCCCTATGGTGTTTCTGTGAAACCAGAAGCCAGGATCTTTCATATAGCGCTAATATAAGCTACAGTTGCTCTCATTAAGAGGGTGTGCTGATAGAGTTCACAGACTGAGGCCTCTTGTTTTCTTTCATGATTCGTCCGAGGGCCCGTGCCACCTGGAGCAGTAGACTATTTCCCTGTGAACCCACCTACGCCATTCTCACTTCAAATGTTTTTTATTTTAAGTTTTCATTTAATTTTTGAAGTCAAATGAGATAGAGCCTGTTGGGAACGAGAGGGAACGTACTTACCTTTCACATACGGTTCCATTTAGCCTGAGCCCGACAGTTCTACATCCGTGGGACAGCTTGCCAGAGTTTGTCTTTTTTGTGTCTTGCTGCTCTATTTGTGATGTTTGCCTTGACTTTCAGAACAATACTGCAGTAATTGTGGTGTCAGATACCAAACTGAGGGGAGCGCAGATGCTCTGGGTTCTTTTATTGGCTGGAGGAAGGCTTCCTGTTATTGCAAGGCGTGCTATCATGACTGGTGAAAACGGAACGAGCACATTATTTATGTCAACAGGACTCTGGCAGTGATGCATCTTCTATTCTGTGGACTTCACTTATATTTTAGCCAAGACACATCAACCACTTGCTTACTGCTTGTCTAACACACTTTATTTTTACGTTACCAACTCTTGTTCTAACAAGTTCCACTGTTTTCTGTTACTCTGGTAACTCGAGGCGGCAAATCAGTAGCTGTCACTTGATGGAGAACATTAGTGGATTTAATCTCAAAAGGAATCAAAGGAAGCTTTGACATGGGTAACACACTTATTTAATTGCTGTCAAGAGTTGATGAGAAGATTGATCCACTCTTGAGAGTTTTATGAAAACATCAAGATCATCCAAGGGACAATAAGCTTACTGTAGCCTTGCATAAAGACTAGGGAACAGCTAATCTGGCCCTGTCTGAAAGTCACACAATTCTTCTAATATAGCAATTCCAAAACTCAGTAATTACCAATCTATTAGAGGCTTATTAAATCTGTAAAAATAACAAGTTATTGTTTGGCAGGCGGACCCAGGCTAGCTGTCCTCTCTGCTTCCAGACTTATTGCTAATCTAAGAAAACCGGCTGCTAGCTATAGCTTCATATTCATCCAATAAACAAGTGTCTTTAATATTCTCATGTAACTCTTAGTGAGAAAAAAAAGTAAGCATATGTCCTTAAATGTCAAATAAAAAATGTTTTCCACCAAGAACGTTATGTTCTCGGTTCAGTTTGTTCGTAGGTTTGCTTTTGTCCATTGTCAGAAATATTAAGGAACAAATCCAGGCCGAAATGTTATGGCACTTGGTGGAACGGTGTAGCTCTCGACCAGAGAAAAAAACATGCCATGTTTGAGTCACAAAACAGATACAACATTATACATTACTTATGGAAACTATGTTGGTTGATGTCTGTACTCTACGAATGCCCTTCTAGTTTTAGATGGATTTATTTGTTGCGATTGTGGCATTCTATCATTCTGTCCATTACAGTTTTATATTAGAAGTCCCCTATTATACTGTTTTTCATCAATATATTATAGGTCTCAGATGTATACAAAACATGTCTCTGAAGTGTTTGGCTCGAAATACCACACAGATCATGCATCATAGCATCCCATAAACCCCTCTGTTTCAGCTCTGTTTCAAAAGTGCTGATTCTCTGTCTGTTACTTTAGATGAAAATAAGATGCCACTATTTGGTTAAAAATAAAAACAATGGTGCTCTAGGAGGAGATTCAGGTGATAAGGTGGGGGGATGTTACCTTGGTAGCTTATTGGCTAAT